TGGAATTTGGTCGTCTAAACTGCAGAAGTGAACTGTGAACGTACAGTTAAAGAAAATCACATTTTTGCAATCTTTGACGTTGAAGAGGCCGACGAGTGAACTGATGGAGAAGTGATCGTTAAGGAGTGAATTGCGGCTACGCAGGATTTATTGGTGTGACATGGTCCTGCTATGTCTGGGTAAAATTATATCACCGTTTTCTTCTGTAGTTTTTGTACTGAGAAGTGTATTGGGAAGTGTTTGTTGGAGCAGCGGCAGATGTGACTTGTATTTAGTTTAAGCTATGCTTTTAGTTACTTAGTTGGCTTTACAGTTAAAAGGGGAGGTTATTTGAAGTGTTTTAAAGACAAGTTTGCGGTTACTGTTTTATAATGAAGTCAAAACATAAGCACTGAGGTAGGCGAATTGGATAATCATGCGGCATAAAGGTATAACAAAATTCCGAAAAAAATTACAAAGGACAGTAATAAAGGCTACAAGTTGTACGAACGGCCTGCCTGCGTTTGAGATGTTCAGTACAATTGGTCGCATGATTGGTATACATTCTGTGGATACGTCGTCGCCGGCAGCCCAAGGATTTGTGATGATTGTTGCTGAAGGTCGATACACTGCTGTCGTCCAGGAGGAGTGGCGAATTGTTGATACGGGACTGTTGAAGAGACTGGAGCAGCGGAGGGAGTTTGTAGATTTTGATTTTGTTGGTAGAGCATACCAGTCGCGGAATAGGTTAGGAGGCTTGAATTTTCGTTATTTGTGTTATTCAGAAAGTTAAAGAAGTTAGCTCCATATGGGACAGGTGGTGTGGCAGATACTTGATGTCGCCATGATGTGGTTACTGCAACGCTAGGTTGACTGGGCGAATATGGAGCGATTGTTGTCGCGATATTTTTTACATTTAACACAGGTTTTCCTAAAAGATTTTTGGCTTTTCGTCTTGGATGATATTTGTAATCTGGATGCTCCTTCATGTGCGTGTCGCGTAACCGTTTCGCTTCTTCCACAAATACTTGCTTGTCTTTTTGGCTAAGCTGTTTCCATTCGTAACCAAGAAGTTTGGAAATTTCAGAATTGTGCATTTTAGGGTTCTCGGCGGCAATTTTACGCCGACGATCACGAGACCAAACCATGAATGCATTCATTGGTCGTTTGACACGATCAATAAGTTTTCTCTTTTCTAGTTCAGGAGAATCTGGCAAGTCCGGAGCACCGGTTTCTGAGTGAAGGTTTGATGTTGAGGCTGATGCAGCAGAAATACCTGGTTGCATGTACAGAAAATATGGCTCATAATGAGGAGGTGGTATTACCATTTGATTATTCATCATCATATTCCGCATACACCGCTTTTGGTTAAAAATTTTCAGAAAATATTACATTTCATGAGTCAACGATGGAGGGAGAAGATACCAGAACATTAGTACGAAATACGGCAAAAATCAGATTTTCTCCTGTCAAGAAAATGAATTACGACTGTAGAATCAGTTTTTAACTGTTGTGTTTTTGCAAACAGAACAGTAGCGCTGAAGAACGTTCAATGGTTTCTCAAATCTAAAAAAAGGTAGTGTTTTAGGTGGGCGTGGAAAATGATAACTATAAGAGTCGTCAGGAATATAGTGGAGTTGTAGAAATTAAAGGAATTTCGTTTACAAAATGAGTCTACTTAAGTAAAATCAAAAAAGGTTTCACGCTTAACTGATGGATTGGGTAATGCAAGTTGTAGTTGCAGAATCACATTTGCAAATTGTTTATGGGAATCAAAAAGGTGTCATATTAAAAAGCAAAGTTGGGAACTGCGTGAACAATGAATACAGTGTTGGTGTGAATTTATGGGAAAAATGCAGAACAATGCAACCGCTAAGGTTCAGCATGCAGAAATCACCGACTAACACTTAGGTGCTAGAGAAACGTTTCCAGGGACAGTTGCAGATTCCCTTATACCTTTAAAATATTTTCAGTCGTTGAACCCCAAGTTTAAAATATACATTTTTAATGATTTTATAACAACTATGAGTTGTCTGGAAAAACACGAAGTTATCAACCAAAGCTATGAGATTATGTGGAAGCCTATTAGTCAGGCACTGTAATCGATGAACTTACATTCAGTCAAAGCCTATCTAACTTTTGTTGTATTTTAGTGTATGACGTAGCTACCAGCAAATAAATTTATGAACTGCTAAAAAAATTTCAAATTGATTTTTAAAAATCATTTGCTGATTTGCAATAATGAATGTTTATTTTGAAGATAACAGTGATGAAAGAAAAAAATTTCTGAACAAACAGTTTTTTTATGCAACAAATAATCATTCAAATAATGATGAAAATTAATTTGTTCTTTTCAAACTGCTCTAAAATACTCTAATTTGCTTTATTAGTAAAGTGGTAGAATAAACTGAGATGAAATTAGGAGGTATATTTACTGTATGTTCTTTTGCAAGTTTTCAAGCAATTTTTTTTGATAATTGTTTTGTGCACAAAAAAAAAAAAATGATTCATTAAAGAAAGATTCGTTTTGGTTAATTGCCGAAACTGTAGCAGATATGGATAAATAGATAAATTTCAAGTCTGAGTTTGAACAGAAGATATAGAAAGTTTTTTTGAACATGGGTTGCTAAATTGCTGTTGAGAAATTGGAAACGCTTGCAGTATTAAAATGATCAAACTATGCTTCAACGTTTTTTGGCGCACAATTACAGCAAACAAAAGTTTGATCAACTTTGCTTGAGCCATCAAACTTTTTGACTTAGTGAAACCTGAACAGTTAGGTGTATCATTTGTTTTGCAGAATGGAGGCTAATAGAGGCCAAGAAATCAATGCAGATACACTTAAAATTCTAATCTTTCATAAAAAATTAATTGTAAATTTTTCATGTGAAAAGCTCTTAAGTTTTTTGCTGCTGTTTGATTATGCAGAAATGCTTTCTATTTTTTGTGGAAAAGTTTCGGTTCAAATTGTTTTTTTTTTTGAACTGTTCAAAACTACTCGGCAAAAATCTCACAAAGCAGATTAGACGTGCATTTAAAAGGTTACCAGATTAATAACAGTTATAGTATTATTCTTCAAACTTTATTATATTGGGTTTGCAATTTCTACAATAGAAGTGCTGAAAAAAATGACATTTACGCTATGAGCTAAAGTCGTGATAAAAGCAGTTTATTACTGTTACTACGATGTTTCAATCAATGTCTATTCATCTTTAGGTTGTATTATTACGGAATAACATTGGTTTCACATACAAAGCATCTCTTCGTTGAAATATCAGTGGTAGCTACCCATCTTTCGTAGACTTGCGCTGATTTATACACAGTGGTGGCTTCTGGATTTGTTGAAGCGTTACCTGAAAAAAAGTGGCGAAAATGATAATTGATAAATTTTTTTCTGGTATTTTATTGTCACAACCTTTCCTTGTAAAAAATTTGCACCTTTATAGTATATTAATGCTGCAGCAAAAATAATCACATTCAGATATGATAAAGTCGGGTTTACTTTTGCTGGTAACGACAGTTTAATAGGTTATGCTGTGATAAACAATAACTTTTGAAGATAAAGTTTTGACAGTATGTATAATGCGCTAATGAAACTGAAACGCCAATATATTTTTACTTTATTCATTTTGAAGTTGCTTTTCAAAAGTAATAAAGTAATCTTTTAGATGGAATTAATTTTTTTTTTCGTACAAAGCACGAATTTCTATTTTTGGATTTAGTAAAGTGCGTTGGGTTATATATCGATGAAAAATGTGCACGCTTTTTGATCAGATAGTTGAAAATTTCCCTTTTCTGTTTCACTAACAAAGTACTGCTCGAAAAGCCCAAGAAAAATTTGTTTCTCTCGTTTAACATTTTATTTTCACTTGTATTCCAAACACAAGAATTACGGCAACGAATTGTTGTTCTTGAAAACGTCTTGATGGTATATTTTAAGGTATGACGTCGAAACCTTAGTCACTGATTGCTAACTGACTGCTTACTGTGATAAGACCGTAACTGTATCAACTCTTTGTCGTCATCAGCTCTTTGACTTTTTTTTTAGTATTTGAAGTAATGACATCAAAGTTGTATTAATAATACTTTAAAAAGTAAAATTTAGTAAATAATCATAAGGCCAATGAGTGTAATTCACTGTAGTCAGGTCGTACCAACAGTAGACTCCACTGCTATCAAAACTATACGGTCCGATCCAGCACTGGCATGTATCTAGAGCTTTTTGACCAGCAGCTGCAAAATGCGGCAAATTTTATCACTAATACAGGTTTCAAGACATCTAGCAATTATGGTTCTTTCAACTTAATGACTTTTTTGAGAAATTATATATTCAACGCATTGAAATTAGGAGGTAAATTGAACTGTATATGAGATATCTTCAATTAAAACTAAGCTAACTTGACACATGAACATTCGCTAAAGTATTACGTATTGACACAATAGTAGCGTTTAATCTTGAGCAATACTTCGTGGCATCTAACCAAGAAATTTCTAAGCCGAAAGCTTTGATGCATAAATTGTTAGATCCAATACAGTATTCCCAACCAGGTGGACATTTTGGGTACCTGACTTCCACCCGAAATTTATTCAATTTTACAATTTTATTTTTGTTTTAATTAACTTAAGACAGCTATAAATGTAGTTTCTAAAACTAGTAATTGTACCCATAAAACTGTTTGCACTTTATTGAAAAACTTTTCAAATTTTTTCGAATGATAATCTGTTTCACTGTCAATATATCGAGTAAAACAGATTTCAAAAAAGGCTATTATTTTTTTTTGCAGGAAGAGAAGGAGAAAGAGAAAGACAGAGATGCGTTTTATGACAGATCCGCTTTTTTTTTGGTTTTTACGATTTAACTATTACTTATGTGTTTATTTACTGATGAAGATATTAAGTTTTTTATTGCTCAATTACTGAAATGCTTGACAATTGTGGCTTCTTTATTTATTGTTGTGTATATGTAATAGCAAAGATAGTTGCCTAATCAGACAATCAACTAACTGTTTCCGCTGAAGACTGTTGACATACAAAACAGAAATCTGTTTGCAATATCGGAAGTAGCCAACCAACGATTTCTTTGAACCAAAGACATATATGTTGCCCTGCCTGCTGGGTTCGTTAGAACATTTCCTCAAAATAAAGCTTATACCTAGAAATATTCAGCTAATTAAAGGTTTGCATTTGAACCTCAAAAGCTTTTTTTTTTAGAATTTACCAGACCTTTTGCTTATACGTTTGTTTTTTAATTTGAAAATCTTGAGATAAAATCTAAGATTAAATTGTGGAATAATTAGACGACGTACTACAGAAATTTTGATTAATACTTTTATTTCAAATTTATGTACCTTTATATTTACAATACATGTATTTTTGCGCTTTACTAAAATAATTCTAAATGTTTACACAGTAACCCCTCTGCAGTGACGTGTGAAGAACATTAAATGTGAGAGATTCTCTGGCAGTTAAGCGAAATGTTCCCTCTGTAACCGTAAGCGTAAAATGATTTTTATAAATTCGATAGAAAGTTGCCAGATAATCTGCTTCCGTCATTGAAAAAAATAATAACAACTACATTTTTCTTTGATGATTTTCTAAGCAAATCTTCAAATAAATTGGTATAAATAAGTTGATGTTCTTAAACTGAAGTATATCTATTGATTTCTGGAACATACTTTTATAATAATTGATGTAACATTCATTTGATCAAATTGTTGATTGAAACTTAGCTACTGTATGATCTATGTTTTTATATATCTTATTTCTGAATCTTATTTAGCCAATCAACTACTCAATTCTTCAGTTTTCTACATGTATCGGCACTTAAAATACTTAGACTACCTTTACTAAAAAAGTGCTTAGAATTGTCACTTTCAACTTTACAACAATAAATCCATTTTTTTTTTGTTGTAGCACTGATTATTTCAGTGTTGTCTTTTGATAATATCTTGTTTGACTGTTTTAAAAAGTTACGAAGAAAAGGGTCTTTTTTGAACGCTTTATAACTAATCAGTACTTTGGTGCTATTATCAAATAAGTAAAATTTTTTAGATTTGATGCAATTGATAATAGGAAGCTACAGAACTGGAAGATACCATGAAGAGGAATAATTGTATGAAAACTTACCATCAAGCCATTTAGTATAATCAACGTTAGATGCATCTGCTCAAACAAATCCTGTACTATCTTCAAAAGAGTGAAGTCCGATCCAGAAACCGTGGCATGAAGCAAAAACTTCTTGAGCGATTTCTACAAAGCTTTTTTTTTTTTTTTTTGCAATTAACAAATTATAAATAAAGAGTTTATTTTAGAGTTACAGTTTACAACGATTACAATCATTCGTTATGGTATATAC